GAATCAACTGCAAAATGCTCATATTTTGCCCTGAACAGTTGAAAACAGTCCTTTTCTTCCTAGTCGTTACAGTTATTCCATCTTTCAATGCAGTGGTATCATTAGAAGTTCAAAATTCATTGTTTAAATTTTGAACCAGCCTTTTGTGTTGACTTCATACCTCCTATCGTAGCATTTGGGGCTATAATAGGATGCCTAGATCTGTTTTTATTTTTATTTTTTTTCGCCCTGTCGCTTCATATTTTTCCTGAAAAAATCCGAGAACCAACAAATTAAATTGGTGTGGCCTCAACTAGAATTTCAAGTTATTGTCACTTATATAAATCAGTATCAGACATAAATCAGTATCTGATTCAGTAATTTAATTCTTAAGTATATGATCTTTATCGTGTGGCCTTTGCCATTTGAAAAACCACTAAAGTGACTAAGGAAAAATTACAGTTTTACACAGTAAATTTGTTATTTTACTCTTTACATATACACAGGTAAATAACTTCTGATGATGCCACTTTTGCAGCTTTTGTGTCAAAACTATAATTTAGTATAAATCTGTTCATTGCTATTTTTATCAATGCTTTACTACTACAGTACTTCATAAATTCTATATAGGCAGATTAATAATTCATCTTGGAAATTCCACCACTACCACATGTGACTGTAAAGTGTAAAGGTCCTGACTACATGGGGAATTATCAGGAAGAGTATGGCTGACACAGTTTGGTTGGAAGAAAACATGTTCAACCACATTACACTAGCAGCTATTGAAAAACATTACATTTCAATTTGCATCATTAGGTGACGTCCGTGACGACCTACTTTGACCTTTGACTAGACTTAAGGTACATGCACAAAATGAAACACCGGTATTTCCGGTTCATTAAAAATGCTCCACCACCACATAAAAGTAGTAAACTGTACATGTATCTGTCCTTTTTTACTATGCCTTGGTCATGTACCATGTTCAGGGCTCGAAATTCATTTTTGGGAATAGGTGCACCCAACCTAAAAAAATTGGGTGCACAAAAATTATTTTAGGTGCACCATGTAAGTAGAATGTCAGCAAAAACTAAATTATGTTTCATTTCTAAAGAAAGGTACTACATGTATAATAATTATATTATTTTTCTGACAATAGAAGAATGTGCTGTGTACTACAATACATTTGACAACTTAACATACGTTAAACGTACGAAAATATTTGGGTACACTGGTGCACCCACAGAAAATAATTGGGTGCACAGCTCCAATTTTGGGTGCACTAATTTAATGGTTTACGGCTATCTATATATCTTTAAAAAAATCTCTGTATTTATTACAAATATCTTAAAGAGTCATAAACCTTTCTATTTTGGGGTTCTGGTAGATATTATCTTCATAACAGGGAATAGGGGACATCTTTCAGGATATCCGTGACAGCTAGGGTCGTCTTTTCTATCCAGGATGTAGCTAGCTAAGCTGCATGTAGCCAACTCAGCTAGGAAGTGTTTCACTTGTAAACATAACTCGTTTCCTGAAATGGCTCGATTGTTGGAATGTCTCTGAATAATACTGAGACGTAGGAAAAAAATGTTATGTTTCCTTTTCCCAACCGACCCTAGAAAATATACCGATCCTAGCTTTTTTGTGTGGACCAAGTTGCAAAGGACATAATATTTTTGAGCCGTTCAACCTTTTCTAACTCCATGATCTGACACCTGAGTAATGAAACGTTGTACAATCAGTTTTCCAACATTAACATTGGAACTACATGTACGTGTATGAGTGTTATCTTGCAAGTTTTACTTTGTTAAACTATAGTATAAGTTGGATCCAGGGCTTTAGCCAGCTCGAAATTTTTTACCGTCAACCCCAGGTCAACCCAATTCGCGAAAAAAAAAATACCGTCAACGCGAAAAAAAAATTCCGTCAATGATTACTTTTAAAGAATGTCTTTCACGATCCGGTGATCGACATCACGCCCTCCCGCACACTTAATGCATTCGGTGTTCTAAATACCCGTCAAGATTGCAGAATAAATAAAAACTACACAACCTGCAATTTTGCAGAATGAAAAAAAAACTACAGTTCTCACAAGGAGACAACGCGCAATGAACAATCCGCTATGCCCTTTGTTTTGATCCGCTCAAATCCCGCCGCGATTCAAGCCGCGGCCATGCAAATGAACCTACTTATGACGTCACAGCCTCCGATTTCCACCGAGCCGGGCCCGAGCGCTGACCGACAGCGGGCGATGTGGCTCAGATCTCCGACGATTTCCTTATTTAGAGCGTTCGGAAGACTTCGGGTAGCAAACAAAATGGCCGACATGTACATGATTTTACTTGTCAGCTTCGCTTCTCTACCGAAATGAGGAAGTTACAACTCCTTTGCGGACTTTAGCGGCCATGAAGTTGACTTGGGGAAGCGCTGAGACGTGATTTCGCTACGGCATAGAGGATTTTGCCGCGGAGGGAGTTACGTGGCCGGCAAAAACTCGCGTGTCAGCGATCCTCCAGAAATCTTTATGCTGACGCTCAAGTCTTCGCGCGAAGGAGGTCTGACGAAGTTTTAGATTAAATAAGGCCACATTGTGTGGATCAATCTCCGTTTTCTTGCGATAGTATGATTATTCAAGTACAGTATATTATTCAAAAACGTTTGATATTTCTTTGTTCGTTGTCACATGTTTATTTATCGTATTGTCATGTACAGTTAGCAGCGTGTGTCTGAGTCGAGCCATTGTTTTATTTTATTCTTATGTGGCCGTTAGCACATGTTGTTTTAACAGACAGCAACATTGAACAATAGAGCCAAGTCAACAGATGTCGGCACGGTCCTTGAAATCAGGTTTCCCGCCGCCGTGCGTTTGGAAAAGACGCCGCGCCGTGGCTCATTCAAATTCGCTAGATTTTTTCCATGTCTTTACCCACGATTTTTGACCGTCAATGTTGACGGTAAGGACTAAAATTTTTACCGTCAGACTGGACAAATTACCGTCAATTGACGGTAAAACGGGCGTTGGCTAAAGCCCTGGTTGGATCACTATATAGAGATCGCCAAAGTCTAAAAAACAAGAAAAAGAAAGATAATCCCTACGTACGGACCCTAATTTTTTCAGGACGGAGACAGGAAACACAACATTTTGTTTCCTAGGCCTTCCAGATGATTCAGAGGATTCCTGGTGATTGGGAATTGTTAACAGTCATCACAGTGAGTAATGGTAAATCACTGAGGGTGACACAATATGCTTTTTTCTAATTAGATATACTCTTCAATAGTAATACAACGGTACTGTAGCTCACTTTCTCTTCATGGTAGCAAAATTTTGTTACCGGTAATGGTACGTTCATGATACAGAGAAAACCGTGTAAACCATGAACATAAAAGTATCAGGAATTACAGTAGTAGTAGTCACAAGTTGTCAGATTTCTTGCAAGTGTCAAATTACAGAAATATTTTCAGTAGAAAAATGATACTATGGTTTTCTGTATCTTCTCCATATTCTATTTCAGGATGTGTAAAATTTCTACCAAAAAAAAACATTTGAACAGGAGTGATCACACCAAATCAATGGTTCAATCAATGACAACAAACTGATGGCCCTGTAATCCCTTCTTCCTATTTACCCCTGAGTTAATTAAATTAATCAGTGTCAAAAGAAATAAAACACTAAACTTCACACAATAGTACAAATGAAGTTTTGTACCCATACTCATACAAAATATTAATAAGTGAAACCAATTTTGCTTGTTTATTGTTTGCATAATCATTATATAACGTTATACACTAGTAATTAGTTATCACATAATGTACATGAATTGTATATGAAAATTTTAAGAAGCCCTGATTCTAAAAAAAAATCAACATGTTATGACTGTGGCTTTAAATACATATTGCTTATTATTCCAGTCTTTTTATGGTAGCATATCAAAAGCTTACCCTATTCTGAACCCAAACTTGCCTAGGGCAATGCCTGACCCTGGGGTTATTTGGGAGCTTGTTTTTATTCCAATTATACAAATTCCAGCAGTGTTATGTTTTTTTACTGTGCCTGGTTGTACTATTTTAGTCAACCTTAGATAATGTCTGTGTGATGTGTTTGTGGAACGCCTCTGAGGGATCTTTTTTTTTTTTTACCTCCTTGAATACACAAGTCTGAAGAATGAATAAACGACTTGTGCTGTTGATTGACAATCCCTGATGTCCTGCAAACAACATCAACTCGCACAGGCTTCCAGACAACTTTTTCTCGTGGTCCTGCTAAGTTTGTTGAGCTATTCCAAGATTTCCCTTAAACCCTTCGCAGAAGACGTGAGTCAGGGACACGTAGGAGGAATGTAGGAACAAGTTGTCGGGTGATTTTTTAGAGGGGAATATCCTACGGAGAGCGAGTTTGTAGTCACCCCTTGGGACAACAACCGCACCCGGGCGTGGCTGCTACATCTGCCCCCCTCCCACCCCTGCTCGGACTACAAAATCACTCGACCCTTCTTTTTCCCTTCCTTGAAAAGGTAGAGATATAATAGCCACATCGTGAACAGAATCCTAACAATGGTGATTTTAATTTGGTACGTCTCTGGGAGGCCTGCTTTTGTTAGGGAGATGACATATTCAAATTTTGGGCGGAGTGTGAAAGGAGTTCAGGTCATTTCGGGCTGTCTCTTGGCTCTGGAGTCGTGAAACTTGTGTCGATTTTTTTGCGTCGTTTGACAAACTGTGTATTTACCGAGGCTTCTCACACGCGTTGAACCGCTAGTATAGAGCATGGGGGTTGTAGGAAGGTTGGTTTCAAGTTGGTAAACGTTCGTAAAAGATGAACTTTGGACAACAAAACAGGAGTCTTCGTAACTGGGCGGGGGACACGACGCGTTGGGCCCGGAATACGAGTTCATTTTGTACTAACGAGGGGGGAGGGGGTTGTTAGGCACAGCATAGGGCTAGAAACCACAGTCCCAAAAACCACTCAACCAAAGCTGAATGTCTGGGAAATACTTGTAAAACTGTAAGAGGAATTTTCTTACCAGTTGGAATTCTCTCCGTCTGTCCCACGCCTCCTGAATCCCCGCATCGGACCACAGCGCCCTGATAGCGGGGCAGTACTCCAAAAACAGGGCAGTGTCTATCTTGATCGTTCCTTCGAATTTCATGACCTGGTCGCAGTACACCTCGTTGCTTGGCTCCTTCATCTTGATACCCAACTTTCTCTGAGCGTCCACGAGCACTTTCATCCCCTTCACGATGTTGTTATACACCGTGGGTCTGTACTCTTTCAGCGCCTCCACGTCGAAATCTTTCCCGTGGATGATTCGCATCTGCTTGAGGAAGGTGGACTTGCCGCTCTCGCCGGCTCCTAACAGCAATATCTTGACTTGTCTGCGTAGATGGACCTTCTCCTTGGCCAGCATCTTGTCGATCTGCTTGGACCGCTGTCTTTGCTCGATGTCTTGCGGATCGCCGCAGCACAGGCCCAGGCAGAACGGAGGGGCCCCGGCCCGGGCCGCAGCCTGCCCAACCCGCACCGCCATCTTGGAACTTTGGACTAGCCTGGGACAGGAGGGGCGGACCACCTACCCGCACAGGGGGGGAGGGACGGGGCATCGACCGGTTTTTTAGTAACACATCTTCTAGTTAGTCTTATTTATTATCCTGTATTTATTTACACCAATGCATTATTTCACTGTTTCAATACTTTGCTGTAGAACCTTTTAAATGTATTTAGGGCAACATATTTTACGTACAGAAGGCACAATTAAGCCGTTGGCAATTCCAACATTTTTTTATCAATAAACCAGTTCTGATTGATTGTTTGTTTCATTGATTGATTGATTGATCAATTGATTTCTAACTGTGATCGAATTAGAATATCCTTAATTTTCATAACGAATATATTATTTTGAAGATTATGGATGTTAGAGGGTATAGTCATTTCATACACACATTATTTTCCCGCGAAAAATTCACGCCAAAAAATTGAGGGAGTGAAACAAGGTTGTAAACTGGTCGTAGCTAGATGGGGTTGATATATAAGTCATTTCGTGAAATGATTGTGAACTGTCTGGTTATATATGTGGGATCGATATTCAGCGAGGACAGAGCCTACGTAATGCTGACGAACATGCACGTACGGTCGCTCAGCGCCCGGCGTTTAAATGTCAAAAGTAATCCTTCGACTTGAGGGAAATGTCATACAAGATTGACGTCTGAACGTTCGTTCTTTCCCGTGTGCTAACTTGATGTGGTTTACCTTGATTTATTAATATTTCCTGTGCTGCGTTTATCACATTTGGCAAGGAAATAATATAAATCATCACTATATAAATAGAAAAGATAACTAGAAAGGTAACATTTGCAAAACATAATGTTTACCTTTGCATATGGTTTGCTCTGTGTAATTCTTACTCAAACACATTCATACATATGGTCAGACAGGAGTCTAAATCCCTCCTGCTATAAAATTGCAACATGATGTAACCCTACAGTGGTTAACGTGGTTACAGACAGTCTGGTTCAGGTCATTGACCTTTTCGGTTTGGCGAAGAAGAAGAGGAGGAAACTGAGCAAAAACAATATGTTTCCCTTCGGTTAACATAATTACTATGAGAGAGGGAGATCATTAAATATTGGAGAGAGTTTTTAAAAATGACTCAAAAGTACCAATCATAAATCGTTCATTTTTATAGGAGCCCGTGAGTAGCTAGTATACGTAAGAGGAAACCCCTACTTATGTCAACCAGGCCACATAATCACCAGATTACTTTACTTCGATGATAAATATGCACAAGTGACCGCATTATTGTAACATGCTGTCCACCCCCGCCCGCGGCCCAAAGTGAAAGATTCCTACACACACGTACGGACGCCTCACCCTTGTGACGTCATGATGGGGAAGTGATCCCGTCGATGGCTTGTTTCCTGAAATAGCCGTGTTGTCATCGTGAAAATACAAGTAGCAAAACTCAGTGGCTTACTGCTATGATGCAAGCTGCATGCCTGTAGCCAGGATTTTGAGGGGGGGGGGTTCTTCCCAAGGTCTATTTATATTAGTTGAACACTCTGTATTAGGCCATGTTGATTTGATTATATGGATGACATCCGCGCGCGCATGAATTTTCAGCCGTTTCCAAAAAAAAAAGTTTTCAACCATACTGTAAATCGTGCAAAACAGTTGCTAAATGAGCAAAAATATACCATAAGTTGCAAGGAAAACATTTAGAAACGATACCAATGTCATAGAATGCCAAAATCAAAGGGAAAAAGACAAAAATGTAAAGAAATGAATTCGAAGAGTAGATTATTCGCCATAACATATTCTGTGCCATTTGTTCAACCTTCATGACCACGTAGATTTCATAGTGAAAGCAACTTTTTTTTTTGCAAAACTTTTTTTTTATTCGCACGCGCGCATCAGTTTTGGGGTTCCCAGAGGATGTCATCCATATAATCAAATCAACGTGGCCTTAGATCAGTAACTAGAACACGTTGTATTAGCTTAGTATAGTATCCTTGTATGTTCCTTATGTATGTTTTCTACATACGTTTGTTATGTGTCTGTTAAGTCTTGACCTGTACCTAGCCCGTCGTGGCATGAATGTACAATAAAGGTATTTCATTTCATTAAAGGGACCAGCGAACCTGGTTTTTTGAGGGGACTTCTAAGGGAAAAATTCAAGTTGAAAATTGAACATTCTGAAATGGAATTTGCTGCATTTTTGAGGGGATTTCTAGGGAAAAATTCAAGTTGAAAACTAAACCTTCTGAAATGGCATTTCCCGCGTTTTAGAGGTTTCCAGAGGAAAAATCAGACATAACTTTCTATTCAACGACAAAGTGAACAGCTTTTTTTACCATTCCAGCCCCGCTGTTGATACAAATCAGTCCATCTTTTGAAGAAAAATCTTGGACCTTTAGATAAAAAGTGAACCTTTGGGCCTTGTGGGGGGTTCGGCTACCTATGGGTATGAGCTCAACCAAGTTAAGCTATGTAGTATGAGCCCACCAGATAGACCTAGTACTAGTCGTAGTGCCTGTAAGCTAGGCTTTCGCCTAATCTGTGGATGGTTTTACTTCGTAGCTACGTAGTTAGAATGTTACGGTACATGTACTAAGTGTGCGCTGGCGCTGTACATGTATTGCAAAGTGGGCACGTAGGCACAATTGATTGATCTAATAGTAATTCTAACCTTTACAAGACGTGCGTATTTAAAAACCAATATATCATCATGTGTATTATCACTGGCCTTGCGGACGATAAGGAAAGAAAAGGGCGACAACTATTCTGACAAACAGCGCATTCATTGATGGAATTCAACCTTTTTCGTACTCTCCAAGCAGAGGTTTGGGGTTATTTTTGGCGTGTTTTCAGGCTTTTTATCGGGGTTTCTCCTCTGCACTGGATTTTTTTTTCCACGGGCCAAAAATAACCCCAAACCTCTGCTTGGAGAGTACCTTTTTCGCATCATTTTTTAAAACTTTTTGCCGCTCTTAATGGCTCTGTTTCTTTTTCCTGAATGTAAACTTATGATAGCGAGGAGGTAATACGGTTTTAATACCACCGTTTTGCATATCATATTAACCATCTGCCCATTAAATATATAACGTTATATATGTCTGTGTGTGTGTGTGTGCTGCTTGTTATATACGTGTGTGTGTGTGTGTGTGTGTGTGTGTGTGTGCTGCTTGTTATATACATGTATATATGTGTGTGTGTGTGTGTGTGTGTGTGATGCAATCAATTTAATTGTTTAATCTTGTGAAAAAAAAGCAACGAAAGTGCCGTTGCCCGAAGAGCAAAAAAAGTACACGTGCTCTGAGCTGGCGTTACAGAATGTGGCGTTGAATGGTGGAGAGAGAAAAGTGTTGCGGCTTGTAGACTTTCACCTCATTGCACCCGAGACTACTGTATTACCTGTGCCTAGATAGAATTGCTACCTGACGGTAAAATACACTACTGTGTCTGTTGAAAAGAGATACCACTAAAAGCCTTCACAAGAACTATTACAAACTGCGTTCAAATCCTCCAATGATAATAATAATAACTGTTCTTGGCTGTACATTTGCAGTAGTATTAAAAGCTAAACTACAATTGACAGACCAACAGAAATCAGTGTATGTCTCTGTACAGTTCAATCCATCGTCGTTTGCCTCTTGCTAAGCCTCTTAGCTTCTACCAGGCTTTGGTAGGTGGCTGGAAAGAGTAGAAATCGGCCAAATAGAGAGATAACATGCCAGGATAGTTGGTCTGCTGGAGAGAACAGTTTGCCAACTCCCCTGGCATGCTATCTCTGGCCGATTTCTACTCTTTCGAAAAATCCCAGCCGCCTCCCGAAGTCTGATAGAGGCTAGGTACAGTTTAGAATCGTCTGTGTATATAATGTACTACAAAGATTACGTTGTTTCATTGTATTCACTCTCATTACCAAATATGTTTTATCTTCCACCCTTTTATAGCACATTTTAACACTGCAACGAAAAAAGTACGTTGTTACCCAGAGCGTCAAACAATTTGTGGCAGGTATAGATAAATCTACATGACTCGGTCTTTAAATACGTGAATAGATGTGTCCGAGCTCGAGCGTGCCAGTCCGCTGATGCTTTCTGCCTCTGATCGACGTAAACTATTTATCACTTCATTTATCACTAGACAGATAAACTGTTTCTGAAGTCGTGGAGATGCCTGCACTTTTGATGAATTCCGCAAGGAGGCCAGTACGTGGACACAATTCTCATCGACCACCTGAGGGGGCATAAAAGAAATAAATCTAGTCAACATTCTTGTAATGTAATCCTTCTCTGAGCCGGTATTAGTCTTAATATACTTGTGACAGTGTGGCAGTGAGTGTGATTCAGTGTGACAGGCTGAATAAAAGTTCTAAATGGGAACTATGCGGCTCCAGATGTCTTACTGAGGGACGACTGTGTGTGCAAGATGTCGGTTAGCTTGAGGAATGAATCCCCTCTACTATATACAGTCTCAAAGTTTGGTGATATTTTAGGTGATGAAAGGATGCATATCACGGTAAAACGTGCAACACGGAAAAAAAATAATATATGCCCCTTTACAGTCGGAATTGAGAGTAATACTAGTAAATACTATAGTAATCAAGCCTCAAAACATCACCCATGCCAGTTCTTGACCACTAGCCTCTGCCAGGCTTCGGGAGGCGGCTGGAAAGAGTAGAAATTGGCCAAATAGAGAGATAACATGCCGAGGGAGTTGGTCCGCTAGAGAGTACATTTGGCCGCACCCGAAAATTTCTACTCTTTTCAGCTGCCTCCCGAAGCCTGGTAGAGGCTACACTCCAGCCCCACCCTGGTACCCACCGGTGATGTCCACTGCTTGACCGGTCATGTAGCTGCTTTCGTCAGAGGCCAGAAATAGGCACAGGTTCGCCACCTCTGGCGGTACGATAGATACAACAAATAGTTGACGTTACAAGACTGTCGACAAAATGCTTGACTATCAAAATCGTAAACAACTGTTTCATTGTACACCAAGACTATTTCCTGAGAAGGGTGAAGGAGGCTATTTACATCAGGGCCCACCACCGTTCACTTAACCGCGACGGGGGCAGACATCGTCTACCAGATACCTTTGAAGCTTTGACCCAGTGTTGACGTCACACTTCAAAGAAGCCACGTGACAAGCCTCACTGGGTCAGTCTACTGAGGAAGACCAGAGTGACTGGTTGAAAGCTCTAGGTGAGAGAATTTTTTTGTGTTGGACCAAAAGGTTCAACTTTATAAACATGTAACTACCAACACAGATGAACTTTCATGATAGTATTATAAAATGCCTCGTATACTGTCTCATAAATATACTGTGAAAAGTCTTTCTCCGTCTTTCAGAAAACAGCAAGAGCTAGCTATATTAATTATCAAGAGTCAGAAATTTATATCAGAAGTTTTTTTATAGTTTTACAGTAGTTAGTATTCTCACCTATGGGGTCACCGTACCGACCTAGTGGAATGGCTTGAATTCTCTGAAATACACAAATTAAAAGTAAAGGTCTCTGTATATGTACCTGAATTTTGTCAGTAATATATTTAACGACTGGTTTCACCTCAAGAACTGTAATTACTTTTTTTATAAATTTTATTATTACAATTCTCCACATACATGGAAGGCATGGTGGAACAGGTGGACCTAAGCACACCTTTTCAAGGCCACCATGCCGACAAATAAATGGTCATACAAATACATAGAATTAGAAACGTTATATACATGACATTATAATTTAAAACACAATATTGAGTAAAATTAACTTGCCATGTATACGAATATCACAGCAAGGCATGTTAAGTAGAAGTAGTCGAATTATCATGACAATGACAATGGCCTTCATTGCATATTCACGGACAAATGCACTATATACTAGTATGTTACATAACTGGAGTACAAGGGTAGGAGAAAGAATTACTATGTTACGTCTATATCTACAAGGTCTCTTTTCTCTTTTCAAAACACGCGTAGACAAATTTCCCGATTTTGTTTTCAATTACGTAGTTTCTAGATGACGTAATATGCTTGAATCGAATTTTTCTTTTGGTGTTTGAAGTGCCCCTTCACTCCGGGAAATGTTGAACTTCCCCCCACCTCTCATACACACACACACACACGTACACACACATACACATGTCTCTCCCGGCCCACACGTACACAAACACACACACACACACACACACACACACACACACACGTATACAAACATACCTTTGGCATTTCCTCCTCGGGTACGAAGTCCTGTTGTTGTAACGGAGTAGTAATGGCACCGGGGTTAACGACATTGCACCGAATATTATATCTGTGATCAATTACAAAGATGAAAATTTGTAGTCATAGATTGAATGTAGAAATAGGAAAATATAAAAAAAAAATCCCCCGCGACCAGAGGTTTGTCCATTCTGTCCTAATGATAACAAAATCATGTATTTATCATGTATTGTCCACTATATGATGATAAACGCACAAAGCTGTTCAATCTTCTGTCTGCTTGCTTAACGGAATTTGTTACATTTTATGCTAGAGATAATTTCAATTTCATTCTAGAAGGTATAGATTCTACAATAACCCTTACTGTGTACAAATATATCAAAGAATGTTTAGACCTTAGAACAAGTTTAAGTTGATTCATCTATTGCCTTGTAGTACGTAGGTCAATTTTGTTGTACTCACGTATATGTCTGTATGTCTAAATGTAGTTAAAGACATTACGAAAGTCGCTGTACTTTTCTTGTGTCAATAAAGTTCCTTGTATATCTGTGACAAAGCAAAGGGAGGCTAATACATGCATTGAACCATATGGGTTCTTCTGTAGATCGTCAGAGGAAGAATTTGACTTTTCGACAATAATTTTGCACAATAAGATTTTTGTTAATGCATTAGATCGCAAATTCTCAGGCACACATTTTTCAAAGAAGCAGAATTTGAGTACTAGTTAAGCATATTAATCAAATATCTCTAAGAATACAGGATCGAATATCAAAACTTACTTTGCCAATTCCAGTGCAACCGACTTGGTCAACGATACCACACCACCTTTACTTGCAGCGTAGTGAGAGTGAAATGCTGAACCCTTAGGAAACAAAATTGTTTTTAGACAAAATTGTGAATATCTCATTCTTGAAATGGCATCCGGATACAATTAGTAACTATCAAACGACAATTTTTGGTATAAGTGCTCTGTTAGAAATCAAACCCACTGATTTAAGCTAACGTTATAGTTGAAGTTACCCGAACATGCGCGGAACACATTTTCTTTCATTCAGAAAACAGTAATAAATACAAATGAAAGGACACAGACGAAGTGACTACCAACTCATTGATTTGGTAGTCACGCGCATGAATTTTCGGCCGTTTTCAACCATACAAAACAGTTTCAAAATTGGCAAATATATACCGTAAGTTGCTCCAGAAACATTGGAAAACGATACCAACGTCGTAGTATGCCAAAATCAAACGAAAAAGACGAAAATGTACAGAAATGAATTTGAAGAGTAGATCATTCGCCATACCATACCCAGTGTCATTTGTTCCCTTCATGACCACGTAGATTTCATAATGAAAGCAACTTTTTTGGCCAAACTTTTTTTATTCGCACGCTTCAAGTTAAACGTTTGGGGTTCCAAGGGGATGTCATCCATATCCAAAGCTTTAGATAAAAGAAATCATACCATATCCGATTCAACCAACTGATGTACACTCTAGTTTGTACAGCCATATATAGAACTCAAGACATGTACATTATCATGTAAGCCATGCTCCATATGTATACATGTTCTATATTACCTTTTTGAAATAGTATAATGTTATTTGCGATACATAGAACTTGTAGGTATCACTGTAGACGTGAGAGTAGATGTTAGCTAGATATGTAGTACTGAAGAGTTTGCCATGCATTGTACCCGTTACAATTGTTGTGCAATAAAGTTTGACTTGACTTGACTATAATCAAATCGGCATAGCCTTAAAGCCGTACTATAGTACTAACCTGTGCTGCTCTAAGACTGCCCATGGTTATAATAGACCCTCCTGCTATCTTGTTCTCCACCATCAACCGAGAGAACGCCTGGACCACCAGGAATGTTCCCTGTTCAAACATGAGCAACTAAACATTAAATCTTATATATATAAAAATATCTGAAAATTACAAACATTCGACACAGAACAGCCATCACAGAACTCCGGATACGTTCACACAAACTCCACATAGAAAAAGGCAGACACAACGTTAACCGCATTCCTCTAGAGCAAAGGATTTGCCAATTTTGCGATTTAGATAAGATTGAGGATGAGTATCATTTTGTAGTCGATTGTACGTTATATAGTAATGAGAGAGATTCCCTATATTCTTATATAATAGATAAGTTCCCCAGCTTTGGACATTTAAATGAATCAGAAAAATTCATATTTCTTATGAAACTTGACAAACCATGTATCACTAGTCCTATATGCTCGTACATCTATAACTGCGTCAAAAAGCGAGAAGAAGTCGAACAATGTAAATAGTAGATCACATTAGTATGTATAGTTTAAGTATCATTGCTGTATCCTTTTTCCTTTTCTATTCATGACCTGTACTTAGCTTGTAAGAGCGTAAACGTACAATAAAGGTCTTTCATTCATTCATTCATTCATTCATTCATTCATTCATTCATTCATTCATTCATTCATTCATTCATTCATCCATTCATTCATTCATTCATTAATGCTATATCAACACCACAAAGCTTGTGTCAATACCACGAAGTTCACACATGTTTAGACTCAGTTCCGTAAGTTGGAAGTTAAAGCCACACTAAAATTCTAGGAAAGGAGGAACCTCCATGTGTAACAAAGACCTTGCAACATTTGCTCATTGACTAGTTTCCGAAAATAGTTTCATCAGGTTGGTAAAATATAGGATACAGGAGTTTTCTTTTGACAACTAGTATTACGCTACTCTCCAACGTACTACAACAGCATTATGGTAATACTAGTATACTTCCGAGTCATCCAACTTTTGATCGTGTCTAGTCTACTGTGTCGGGCGGATGGAGCTTACAGTTTCACCGCCTCTGTGCCTACAGACGTCCCGCCTGGCACAGACGTTGTCAGCCTCCAGAGTTTCATGGAAAAGACGGAGAAATTTGCGGAACTTCCGTGTGTTATAGTGAACGGGGACCCATACAGCCGGTTCGACGTCACTACGAACTGTACCGTTGTGGTCGCCAGGCCGCTTGATTCGACCGTACAGTCGGAGTATCTGCTTAAAATTCGTGTTCGACGACTTAAAAATCGTGGTAACGCTGTTGTCCGTCTGAAAGTAAACGTAACGGACGTTTCGGGCTATCCACCTGTGTACCACGAGACGTGTGAAACGCCGGTCAGAATTTCAGAGGAAGGGACAGACGGATTTCTCTTCAGTCTCTTTGCATCAGGGGAAGGTGAGATGGCTTCAGGAGACGTTGTGTATTTTAAAGAGACGCTGAACAGGCCACAGGAAAACTGGAACATGGAAGACCCAAAGTTTCTCGTCCTGACGGGGAACGCGTGCCAGTTTAGTATAGCTGTTAATGTCCGTAATGTGAATGACATGAGAGTTGCAGCTGAAATATTTCAATCATACGCCGTCAACGATACCTTTAAAGTGTTCTGTCGAGCAGAGTTCGACCAAACTGTTTCCTTCCAGCTCCAGCTCTTTAATATTCGTGGCGACCACACCAGCGCGCTAGATCCTCTTGAACAAGTCGTCCCTAACTTCATGACAGAACTTCAGAATCCTCTTTTGGTCTATCTTATTTCTGTAGCGTATCCAACGACGCGCCCGACGCGTTTTAACTGCGACATTCCGCCTTTAGTACGTCCGATGAAGTTTAACAGCGATCTCGATTCAGCCGCTGTGAAACATCTACACAGGTTCTCTGCCGCTGTCAATCCTGTGGGCTGTGTACGCGGCAGGTACGGTCCTTTTTGCGACAAGACCTGCATCTGTAAAAACGGCGCCCGCTGCCACGGTTTCAACGGCGCTTGCAAATGTACGGCCGGGTGGCAGGGCGTCGCCTGCGACATCCCCAAGCCTGGCGTATCCGCAACAACGACTCCTAGCGACCCTTCTGATATCTACATCTCCGCTAACGTCACCGTTCACTGCCAAGCCAATCACCTCGACGCCACGAAGCTGTTACTTCGACTTCCAAACGGATCTGAGATTGTTAGCCACGGTGCAGGTCAACTAGACAAAACTATACTCAACATACAATCAAAACACAGCGGCCCGTATGCATGCCTTGTTCAGGACACACGTGGAAGAGTCTACAATGCTTCGATTGTGTTGAACGTTACTAACTGTCCGCCCGGTAGAAAAGGTAAACTCTGTGATGAAAGGTGTGGTTGCCTACAAGGTGCCAGCTGTGACCGGTGGGCCGGTTGTGTCTGTCCGCCGGGATGGACTGGAAACAAGTGCGAGACAAAATGTCTGCACGGTACGTACGGTAAAGATTGCCACAAGTCCTGTAGCTGCCAAAACGGGGCGATTTGTAGCCACAGCGACGGTGAGTGTACTTGTACAGCCGGTTGGTATGGATCGAACTGTACCGTACCCTGTCCCAAGTACAGGTACGGACTGAAATGCCAACAAACTTGCACCTGTGAGAACGACGCTGTATGCGACAACGTGGACGGCAGATGCACTTGCATGGCGCCGTGGACAGGGAAGAACTGTGACGAGAAACAACCAACGGAGCCGTTGGTCGAAAGCCTTGTCGCTGTAGGCTGTCTGATTGTACTGGTTGTTTTTATAGCGACCATACTTTACAAGAAGAAACTACTGTGTGGACTTGAACCAGGAACAGACGAAGACACTGAAGCTCTTCTACAGATGCAGCAGGTAACGTGAAAACTGGTCACTTTTATGTGAAAATGCACTTTAAATTTGTAAATTCTTGTAGACTTCAGTCGAATGTCTATCAAAGATAGAAAGAAAAATACAATGAAACATCAGAGGAAAACCTTAAACCAGTGAACATTAAATGGCCTCCAGTAAGAATTTGGAATGCAAACTTTTATATTGTAAACTTTTATATTGTAAACTTTTATATTGTAAACTTAAACTTGTAAAATGTATATTCCAAAAGGGCTGGCGATCATTTAAATTTCACCGAGGCGTCATTTGAAAAGTGCATGTGCATGTTTCCCTCTGTTCTAAACTTCACCAACTAGTGTCATGTTTAATCTCTAAAATAGAAGTTGTTATTGAATTATCACGAAAGTTCATCTGTGTTGGTATTTACATATTTAAAGTTAAAACTTAAAGTCCATCTAACACAAAAAAAGTTGTCTCACCTAGAGCTTTCGACCAGTCACTCTGGTCTTCCTCAGTAGACTGACCCAGTGAGGCTTGTCACGTGGCTTCTTTGTTGACGTCACACTTCAAAGAAGCCACGTGGCAAGCCTCACTGGGTCAGTCTACTGAGGAAGACCAGACTGACTGGTCGAAACTTCTAGGTGAAAGAACTTAATTTTTTGTCTATTTACTTCATGATTCAGCGCAAAACAAGGCTCATGAGAGCCACTCAAAATGTTTTGGGTCACTCTACAGCCAGTGAGGACAGATGTTTGTTGACCTTAGACTTGAAAAGTTAAAGGTTATAGCCATATGGGAAACAATTACGTGGTAGCTTATTCCATAGTGATGTTGTTCTAGGAAATAAGCTTTCAGTGTGGAACTTCCTCCTAAGAGGTGGTGAATGGAGGAAGCTAAGAAAGGGTGATTTGCTTCAGTGGAAGAGGCAAGACGTGTCCAATTGTGTTGGATCTAAAGTTTTAACCTTAGACATGTTACTGAATTGTATGAAATAGCCACAAGCACATAATTGCGAGTTTGATACAAAGTTGTTTTTTTGCCAGTATCTATATGGATACACTCAGCTATGTTTGAAACATTGAATCCGTTCAGGTGGAAGCAGACCTGGCACAGACCGTGAGGCCAGGCTGGCTCAGCCGCTGGGAGACGACGTCCAGCCGAGACCTCACCCTCGGTGCCCTGGTAGGATGGGGGATGTTCGGGCACGTCATACAGGGAACACTGCGGTCTTCTGCCGGAGAAAACACCAGCGTGGCCGCAAAGACGGTCCGCAGAACAGACGCGCAGTGCCACCGCAACTTCTACCGGGAGGCGGCCGTCCTGGTAGCCGTGCACGAGGACCAACATCACAGCAACGTTCGCTCCAACATCATACAGTTACTCGGGCTTATAAACGAGCCCTCGCATAAGTACATTCTCTTGGAATACGCTTCTAAAGGGAGTCTTTTGCGTCTGTTACAACAAGCACGAAGGCAAGATGGGGCGAGGTCGTTCCTTCGCTATCTCCGCTATGGCATACACGTTGCCCGAGCTCTTCAGGAGCTTCAACGCCTGGCGATCACACACTGCGACGTGGCGGCTCGGAACGTTCTCATCACCGCCGACGACGTGGCCAAGTTGGCTGACTTTGGATTGGCACGAGATGAGCACCACGTGTACGATACCATCCAGTACGTCGCTGATGATGCACAACCCGACAAGAGAGGAGGAGAGCTTGCGGGAAACCTAGAAAGACACCCGCTGAATTGGATGTCTCTGGAGTCTTTGGAGACCGGGCAGTACACCTGTGAGAGCGACGTGTGGTCCTTCGGCGTGCTGCTGTGGGAGATCGCCACGCTAGGGCGGGAACCGCGCTACCCTGGAACCGTCAACAACAGACCGAGCTGCCGCCAACTCGCACAGACACTCCGGAGGGGAATCCGGCTTAGACGGCCTCCGGAATGTTCCGGATTGATGTATGACGTCATGAGCTCGTGTTGGCGGGAAAATCCGTCTGCAAGACCGGACGCGGAGGAGGTGGAGACGCGAATCCTGCGACTGAACTTGTCTTTTGAGATGGAAACAGCGGTGTAGGACTTTCCCAACAATCTTTGAGCTATTGAATTAGAACTATACTACATGAGCTGAAGTGGATACGTACGTGTTTCGTTCAGGTTTAGCGTAAAGAAGTAAATACAACGTGTACAGAAAAGACTTCAACAAAGGGCGAAATAAGCTTCCTTCGCAGACTTGTGTGGCGGCAGCGGCGTTAATGTTTTTTTTTTTGGGGGGGGGGGCTGATATGCGATTTTTACACGGGTTGACTGGGCAAAATGATATAAAGCATTTATCAATCGACCACGAGATTTATTATGTTTACCGAAGGAAAACATGTTTTTGCTACGTTTCCGATTCTTCTCCAAACCAAAAAGGTCAATGACCTGAACCAGACTGTCTGTTACCATGGTAACTAGTGTTGGGTTACATCATGTTGCAATTTTATAGCAGGAGGGATTTAGACTCCTGTCTGACCATATATATGAATGCGTTTGAGTTAAGGGTTAATGACCCGCCACGAGGTGAATATGGTGTGATAAAGCCTTGTCAGTTGCTATAACCACCGAATAAAGCCACCAAGTGAGCGCAGCATATTCACCAAGAAAGGGCGGGCCATTAACGCTATTATCATATAGCTTACCACGATAGCCTATCCAAACTGATGATGTAGTTATAAGAGTGACACAATAATAATTAACAGAGCAGACTATATACGAAAGAAAACATTATGCAAATGTTACCTTTCTAGTATTGACTACTAGTACCAGAGACATGTTCTACTACGTACACCTGACCTTGAGACTGACGTTGACGATCCTGTCGAACGTCTCCTCGTCCATGTCCAGGAAGGCCGTGTGCGTCTGGACGCCTTGTGACGCCAGGACGACGTCAGGGACGACGCTGTAATCCGCACGGACGGACTCCACCTTTACACAGCGGGGCATCGATGTTAGAGGAACATCCACATACACAAACGAATTGTTCTACCCCACACTCCTTTACAATAGGCTGAACGAATAGTAGAAATAGGAGAAAGGGGGATATAATAAAGAAGATTAGAAGATCACCAAAAGACTACATTTCTACTAAGATCACAAAACCCACTAATTATGCAAGTCGAACCCCTTAATAGCTAGAGTAGTAGTAGAAGTAGAGGTTTTTCCAGACAGATTGTTACCTGTCTCCTGTTTCTGTATACTTGACTGTACAAGCAATTAGCATTCGGGCATGATTTTGCAAATAAACATCAATAAAAGGTAAATAACCTGCCCCGAGGTGAATATGGTAAGATAATCCCTAGTCAGACGCAATAACCACCGAATAAACCGAACAGTGAGCGAAACTGTTTAGAGCATTATCGGAGGTGTCTATAATATTGCATATATATAAAACAACTATGTTTAAGAAAAGTTAAGAAAGGTTAATGACTTGCAACTCTCAACATATTGATCGTAAATGTACGCAATGAGAATACTAACATGCGTTTCAACTACAAATATTCGTCTATATAATTTATGAGATTCTACAGACTAAGGCCCGATTTAGACTAGAAACGCTTAAGGGGTTTTGGCCAGGGAAACGTTTCGGAACGGTTAACCGTTCCCGGTCTAAAGAGGAAAAAACGGTTTGTTATGGGTTTTCGCGGACCGTTTCCGAAAACCACCTCCATCGTGGTTTTCGACCGTTTCAGAACCCTTCAGCGGGGGGCCCGAAACGCTTTTTGCTAGGTCTAAAGACAAAGGGTTTCTTGAAACGGTAAACCAGGTCACATGTCATATGCTAATCACATGCTAATAAGCCCGCGCACGTCCATTATCTGGTAGATTCGCGCCATATTTGATTGTGTCCATTTTCGCCATTTTATATCGTGTATTTCTCGAATTTTTGTTATCCTTTACGTCTGGAGGGATGGCAGAAGGCCAGGGGAGGGTCTGGACCCAAGATGAGACCCGCTTCTTGATCATCTTGTGGGCCAATCAAACTATACAATCCCGCTTGGAGACCTCGCGTAATAGGGAGGGCATACAGATGCTTGTGGACGGGCTGGCGGCTGAGGGGTATTTATGCACCCCAAAGCAGGTTCGGGCGAAGTTCAAGGCCCTGAAACACAAGTATCGTAAGGCCAATGAGGCAAACCGTAGAAGTGGTTCGGGGAGGTCATCATAGGTCACTGTGGGTCAGAAACATCCTGCGCCACGGGCGGCCCGAAACACTTCCGCCCCTGTGTCTAAAGACGAACCGTTTTCTGTGGCGAAACGTTTCGTACCGTTTCGAAACGGTATACCGTTTCTAGTCTAAATCGGGCCTAAGAAACACTTAGCGTAATACTATAATAGTATAGTCAATGCAGATATTAAAGGAGGTTATATGGACATCTCCTCGGTGCAGATACGTATACGTACCAGTCTTGATACTGCAGCCGCTGACGTCACATCTGTTACGTAAGACCTGTGTGAATACAGGCCGCGTTTCTGTAGAGATTGTACCGTCTCCTCCGCACCTGTTGGTCATGGTATGTCACATTAGGCAACAGAAAGTAATTTTTATGGACGACATAGATCTACGCGCGCATAAATTTCGCCTGATTTCGAAAAAGCAACAAAACATTTTGTTGCCCTTTGACGGTGGACTGGCCAACATTACAAAAGTTAATATATATATATATATATATATAT